TGTCTTAATCATCCAGCAGAAAAGTATGAAAACGAAGTATAAAGTAAAGCCATATTAATGTGCCGAGCTGTAAAAGCCTCAAGTCAACAACTTCAGACGTTGCCAGTTCCATGGATAACCCACTACTATGGACTACTGGACTATATTGGATCATTTTGCTGAATTCACACACCTATAATATTTAAATGGCAATGGAATACCCATCTCTGACAAAACTAAACCAAAAAAAAAGGGATACAAATGAAGGACAATTTGGTATCTGTATATACAAAATGGGATAGATATACAGCTACTTTCTCTTAATTCAATGAGAAGAAAGATTTGTACTAAGAGTTTGGACAGAATATAATGTCTACGTCTTGTACTATGATGAATAACTAGTACGAAGACAACATGCAAAGATTAATTATTGAAACTATCCTACTAACCTGTTTTGAAACTGTCTCATTGCTATTTGTTTCTCAATAAAAATTTTTAACACAAACACACACACACACACACACACACACACACACACACAAAATGGAACCAAAACCACTGAATGAACTTTCATTGTCACTGTGAATTAAATGAGTGAATATAAGTTAAAGCCTTTAGAATAATGCTGGCACATAGAAAATGCTCCAAAAATAATTTAAAAGGAGAGTTCACACATTCACATGAACAAATGTCTCCCAATCACATCACGTAAGTAAATGAAGCAAGTAGATTATCTAGAAAAAACACAGACATAGTCTTCACTACAAAAAAGCAGAGTGTTGTCTTCCATTTTCTGGAAACACATAGTCTCACTCAAAGTAGCTTCCACTTCCTACTTTTAATATAGACATGAGTTCAAGAAATATTAATTTTCATTTAATTCTGTTATAAGATAAAAATAACTGTGAAAATATGGTGGTAAATAACAACAAACACTCAGCTGTTTATCAGGAAGATAAAGGAAAGGGCAGGAACTGCATGGAACAGGAGAAGCAGCCCCTCTACAGCATGTCACTGACTTTCAGTCTTGACCACTGCTACAAGCCATACAATGACCCGATGTTGCCACATGTTCTCAATTTTCAAGAGAAGCTGACAAGAATTTTATGTAAAGACTCATGACTTTTTAAAGTAGGCAACTGAAAAACATTAAACTGCTGTCATGTGGATGACCACTGCACAAGTCAAACAGAGTATATGTTGAATTCACTCATGTGATACCAGCTTAACCTCTAACTTAGCAGACTCTGACTGGAAGAGTAATTTGCCAGGCAAGGGCTTATTCTACTGAGCTATCTCCCCAGCCCCCAGGAAGAGTAATTTGGATTTGATCAAATAAAAATTAAATTAAGTATTTAATATTAGAGGGCAATATTAGTCTTTGGAAATCTATGTTCCTCTATAGTTTTTTGTAATGCACATTTTTTTCAGGTGAGACATCAAAAAGGTTTTATCAAGGTTTACTTGCCGCAGTTTAAATACTTTATAAATGTATAAATATCCTTTTTCAAATCTACTCACCCTTTCAACAAACATCTGATAACTATCTCAGTGTTTGTTTGGTGCCCTTTTCTTTCTCCTCTTATCTCTGCCTCCTTCCTCCCTCCTTCCCATCTCTCTTTTCTGAACACATTATCACACCTCACTTGCTCCTGCTCTCACACCCTCTCACAGTCACATTACAGGCAATGGGCCTCTGTGGAAACCGTCTGAAATAATAGGACTATTTTCCTCAATATTATAAAGAATCTTTATTCTAGTACAACAATTCATTAATATTATCACCCATGCATGTCTGTAATACCAGCACTCAGGAGGGTGAATAGGACAAGCATATGTTCAAAACCAGATGAGCTACAAAGAGACTATCTCAAAAATAAATGAAAATAAATAGTAATTCATATCTATACTCCAACCTTCCAGAAATGGCTGTTTACACCAAACTGCCAATATGCTTTTCACAAGAGAATAATAATATGATGTTTCTTTAAAAAATGAAAACAAAGGAAAAAGTGATGTTAGGAGAACCTATACCACTACCAGTAGTAGATAAAAATATTTTTTCAAGGGGCAGAGCAGCCCAGCCCAGCACGGCACAGCAGTGAGGCAGAGCGGCCTGGCGCAGAAGGACGCTGTTTCCTGAGGAGCTCTGCAGAGCCAGCAATTGGGCAAAATCAGTCTTCCAAGGAGAAACTCACTGTATGCAAGTTCCCGGTATAACTGTAGAGCTTGCTCCTATGGTTAGAGGTATCACATTAATAGATACCAGAGTTCATCAGTTTCTAGGCTATGCTTGATGCTATTGTTATTGCTAACTGTACTTTAGCCGGGATACCATACATGTTGTAATCAGTTTCTCTACCTCGTATGACAACACTGTGATGGTCTAGGGTAATAACCACAGTCCAGTACCAAAGGATGGGTGCTAAGTCAAATAGGTAGAAACTTCTTACCTTTAATAAATTGGCAAGATAGTTTCTTGGGGTAAACACAAAGACCAAGAACCACCTACACTTGGAAGACTTCTTTGAGAAACAGACATTTCCTAGGGAAGCCTCAACAATAGTGATAAAACCATCTATTGAAAGAGATATATAAACACCAACACAGAAATAAAAATAAAATTTAAAACGCAAAATGACAAGATACAGAAGTAAAATGTAATCTTAGACCTCCAGGACACCCATTATAAGTCCAAAACATGATGCAATAGAAGCAATCAGAAGCCACACACTGGAACTTCCTGCTATGGTGGCAGTGAAAGTGAAAATACAAATGGATATGGAGATAGAAAAAATAATATTTCAGGTAAAAAAAGAAACAACAATCAAAATGGAAGCCATGCTCCACAAATCTAAAGTAGACACAGATAAAGGAAGAGAAGCTTAGGAAAATGATGGAAATCATGAATGCCTGACACAGGAAAAAAATGGAAGCCATGAAACATCCAAATCGATATCCAGGAGATTAATAATTCTTTTGAAAGTATAGCAACAGATTTAACAAGGGCAAAGATCTAGAATATCAGATCTAAAAGATAGGAGTGCATTTAGTGACCACAAAAAAAGGTATCTTTAAAATAGCAAGGGACCATGAAAAAAAAATCAATCCAACAGCTGCAAGACAAAGCACAGGAAAGCAACATAAGAATGTAGCAGAGTTGATGAGAAAGCCTGAGATAGTACAAATGCCATTTAAAAAAAAACTCTCTTCCCAGAAATTATGGCCGAAAACTTCTCAAAAGTGGATAAAGAACTTGACATACAAATAAGTGAAGCATACAGAACTCCAAAAAGCCATGACCAAAATAAATCTATAACAAGGCATAAAATAATATTCCAGCTCAACACAATAGCAGAATATTAAAAGTGATTAGAGAAAAGAAACAAATCGCCTATAAATGAAAGCCCATCAGAATCACAGCAGATTTCTCAATACAAGCCCTCAAGTCAAGAAGAGCTTGGAGTGAAGTATTTCAAGCGCTAAAAGAAAAAAATCTCCAACCCAGGTTGATGTACCCTCAAAACTATCTTTCATAAAAATAAGATATTTCCATGACAAAGAACAACTGAAGAAATTCATGACCACCAAACCAGCTCTCCAAAATGCTCTGAAGGATATTTTAGAAACAGATAAGGAAGGCCACAATTCCAAGAACACAAATAGAAAGAATCTAGCAGGTAGGACAAGCAATTAAACAGAGGGGAAAGACAGGGTACTAAAATATTTTCATAGTATATAAAAAGTAATTCCTTATTTTATATTTGCTATAATACAAATATTCTTGGGCCTGCGGAGATGGCTCAGTAGAATATAATACAAATATTCTTAAAAAGTTTAAATCAATACATGAGGCCAATAGATCACATCACTATGATCACTTATTTTATGTACACATATTTTACTAGCCATGAATTTAACAAATCAAACAAAGGCAGGCCTAAGGATACAAAATCAGACCATCATTTTTATGGCTCAGGTTAAGACCACAAATATATTCATATGTTCATTTTCTTGAATTTTTATTAAAAACGTGTCACCTAAAATCTCAAAGCACAAAAGAATTTATAAATACAGAATGTAGCACTATTGGAAGTGACAATATATAAATTTTAGCAGTATAATGCTCTCTCCTCAGAAGACATGTCTTACAAAAGCACAAAAACCATTTTTTTAGATACATTAAATAAAAATATACTCCAACCGAGGGACATTCTACAATGTAATCGGTCTCTTCAAAAGAATCAGTATCATGAAGGACAAAGTGATTCAAATGAAAGATTATACAGAATTCACAACTAAGATAATGCAGGATCACTTAGATTGAATTCTCAATCAGAGAAAGTTTACTACAGAGTATTGCGCTGCACAACTAGCAAAATCTAAATATGGATTATAAAAGAGTATTATATCAATGCTGAGTGTCTTATACTATGGTCTTATAGAACAGGCATTGGCCAACCTTTTCTGTAAAGAAGCAGATAATAAAAGATACTAACGTGCATATAAAGTCAAATATTCTTTGTTTTTGTTTTGTTTTATAATCCTTTAAAAATATAAAATCCATTCTCAGCTTAAGCGCTATGCAACAGGGTAAGAATTAAATTTGCCTTAATAGTCATAGTTTGTCAAACACTAATACACACAACGTTCATGGTCTAAGGAAATACTCAATGAAGCAGGACAGGTGAAGGATAGTGGTATGTGCTTCTAACTCTCAAGTGACTTGGCTAACCCAGTAACTGTAAGTGAGTGAAAAATGTAAGATGTGGCAAAATGTTCACAAATGATAAATGTAGGTGAAAGAAAGGGATTTCATTCTATTAGCCTTGCAACTTTGCTTCAAATTTGAAAATAAAAAATGCAAAAAGGAAAAGAAATGGTCATGGATAGCCCTAGGAGGGGAGAATCTACGAGTTTCAGTACACAGGCAAACAATGATTCCAGTAGCTCAGAAAGAGTAGAATAAAGGTCTCACAAAGCGAAAATCATCTAGTCATCAAAGTCACTCCAGTACATACCCATGTGTCCAAAGATACCTAGATTCTCCTGTCATCACTAGCAAACTCCGACGGGGCAACATAACTTGCACTGTGACACCATCTGGGTGCTTAAAATCCATAACAACCTGAAGCAAAGACAAAAGCATAAAGAGAAATACAAAATTTCAGGTACTCCAATACGCCAAGGATAGGAGTGATTTATTCATTTGTCCATCTTTATAGGCTAACATATTATAACATGACATTGCTTATACAATAACATGGCATAATGGTTCTCAAACTTTAGTGTAATAAGTGTTAATTAAATGACATAAAAAAATCTTGATTCATAGAGATTCAGACCTGGCAGATCTGAGGTGAGGTTCAGGAATCTGCATTTCTAACCATCACCTGGGAAGTAGGAGACTAGGACGAGACCATGGAAACCTTACAGTCATGGTCACATTTGAACTTCAGAGCTAAAATTCATACCCTGGCTCTTTCACTTACAGCCCTGTGACTCAGGAATCTCTATGCCCTGGTTTTCTCTATTATTAAAGAACTGCTACCTGAATTAAATAAATAATGGATAGATAATAAACAAGCAATGGGTAGAAACTTCACCTATAATAAATATAAAAAAGTAACTATGGTTATTTTTATTCATACAATATTGATGAATTATGATTTTTATAAAACTCATTTTAAGATTGGATGTGGTGGCACATGTCTGTAATCCCAGCATTTGGGAGGCTGAAAACAGGAGAATCACTATGAGTCTGATCTATGTGGTGAGGCCCTGTAGACACTGTACTAAATACAAAGAAAAACTTCATTTTACACCTTGAAAAGCAGGCAACATGCTAGAACTAGATGCCAATTAATAAGAGATAAGCAAAGAAAATAGAAGCAGTTTTAGCAACTTTTCCTGAGTTATATACATATATTCTGTACAGCAACCTGTAAAACAACATCCAGGAATTTTTTTGGTCCTAGTGGCCCATGAAACAACAAAAAAGCTTTGGACTGAAAGCAGCTGGCAAATGTGATTTAAAGGGCATGCGAAAGGACTAAAACATGCTTCTCAAGTGAAGAGATCAACTCATTTGAAAAGTAAGTATGATGACAAAAATATACCGTCCTTAAAGGTACAATCAACACAGTACCTGGCACAAAATAAACATTCAACAAATGTTATTACATGTTATTAATGTAATCATTACTAACACTAATCAAGCTAGATAATACATATGAAAACTCTATGATGTTTGTAAAGAATTATACAGATCTAAGCTGGCTTTTTGTCTTATTTGTTTTTCCAATTGAAGTAGAAAAAGTAAAGTAAGGAAACAAAACTTTAATTTTCTAACCAAGCACAGACGCAAAAATCTTTAATCCTAGCCATTTGAGAAGCTGAGGCAGAATTACACGTTCAGGACCAGTCTAGGGAACTTAAGTGAATCCGTCTCAAAATAAACTTTAAAAGGGGTTGAGGATATGGCTCAGTAGGACAGCACCTGCCCACATATACCTGGGCTAGGAATACAGCCAGACACGAGCACGCCTGCTCAAGTCCTGTACTGCAACGCCCGCTGCACACTGAGTGGAGGTAAGGGGGCTGCAGACCTTCAGAAATCACCACAAAGCCTTCCAGGTAAAACCACTGTACTTGTCACTGGGCTGAAAAATCGCACAGGGTTTCAGCCTGGAGTTAGATCCCTTATTCCATAATAAACAAAAGGTAAACAGTGTTCAGGAGAACACACATATACCAGAAGTAAAAGGAAACTTATAGTTAAATCAGTTTTGTGTAGCATTTGCCCTGTTCTGATAAAAGTGATCATATATATATATAAATACACATATAATGCATATATATCAGTACAAAGTAAAAACTATTTAAGTCTGGTGATACCGCATGTGAATGAAATGTTCTTATACATTCACTTATAATATTGAACAATAAGAAGAAACACATGATAAATTCATGCCAATAAATAAACTTTAGATATCTTTATTAAGAATTACATTAAATAGCAAATAAAAACCTTGACAAATTGACAGAGTTCACAGAAGAAAAGAAGCTGGTTTTCTGCAGTACTGGGTATCTCGAGACTAGGTCGCTGAGTGGCCCATGCCCCCACTAAGTGGACACTTGTAATCCTCCTGCCTGAGCACCCAAAGCTGGGATTACAGGTGTGTACCACCAGGCAGAGAAAGCTTTGTTTTAGTACCTTTCATGGTAACCTTTCCAGGAACCATGTGCTTACTTTGAGAGGAACCCCACAAATTACAACTTTGAAGTTTTGTAAATTTTTATCATCAACCTATTGTTTTGCGCTAATAGAATGCAAAATCATAATTTATCTTTCTGTATGCTTACAAAGCCTTCATCCTGATTAGATAATTATTCACTCTTACTTTTTGTTATTCTTTACATTTCAATCTTTATAACTGAAAACTTCTTCTGGCATAAAATTTGACAGTATTTTTTAATTTAAAGTAATTTTTATATGATTAAATGTAAATTTCCCATGAAAATTAAATTTTATTACAAAACTCAGTCAGCAAAATATTTGTAGTATCTTCATATTATAATATCTGTACTTTACTTACATAATGTTTGTTACAAGGCCAAAAAAATGAGGCTTCATAAAAAAATCTATGATGGATCCCAAATCAATAACATCCCCTGCAGCTGCGGAGTCACCTGCCGTGCGACAGCTTTGCTCTCGGGAGCTTTTGCCAATTACCCTTCTTTGGCTTTACTGATCTCCTCTACTTTCTGAGAGGGAGAATCAACAAAGATCAATCCCCGCAAGCTCTGAGGCATGACTGAGGACGATGGCCAGTGCAAAGCACACAAGCACAAATCTCAGACACTCTGATCCTGTGCCATGTTTACGCATCCACATGCAACAGAATGGAAACCCTAGACAGTGCTCTATCGGCCAAGGAAAGATAAGACTCATGTCAGGGAAGAACAGGAAGGAATAAACAGATCTCTGCGTTGGCTCAACAGGAAGATGAAGAACAGATTCCTTCTGGGAATGTGTCTGAAGAGAAGACAAACTTAATCCTGACCCTTAATTGTTACAGGTAGGCGGAGTCATCAGTCTTTTGAGAGAAACCGTGAAGATTGGAGGCACAAGTAGCAATCTGATGAGATGAATGATACTTAACTCACAGAATGATGAAAGCCAAGAGGCCAGGCGTTACCCCAGTTAGAGCACTAACATCACCACTGCAAGTCCACCTGTTTCCCCACACCACACCAAATACAAATCTTCTACAACTGTGCTAACATTTATCTGACACAAATGAAATAAGAATTTACTTTCTAGTCTATCTAGTAAATGGGATGCTACACACCTCATTACACACAGAAGTGTTTACCATACCTGTGCAAGTGACAAAGAAAAGAAGGAAAAAGGGGAGAGAAATTCAAAATTACAAGGATAAAATATCAAAGCCATAAACAACTATGGGGCAGGGATACCGCCCAGCAGCACAAGTGCTTGCCTGGTAAGCACAAGGTCCTGACTAAGTTCAATTTCGAGTGCCAAAAAAAGAAAAAGAAAAAAAACACAGCTAGACCAAAAATGTGTTTATATATTTTACCAGATTTACAAAGAGTCCCACCATATCATAATCTGTCCATTGTGAGAATAAGAGGAAGGTGCAAAAATTTTAGTGAAAGAAATAGTTCCCTGTCTTTCAACAAAAATAACATTCTCAGAAGCAGATGTTGCCAAGCAGAGGAATAAATGCAAGAGAAGCCTGCTGTTACATCGTATTTCTGTATAGCAGAGAAATTAGTAATTTTGCCTGCAGATACCTTGAGAACAATAGCTGATGTGGCCTTTAAGTCTTCTACCAATGCCATACATTTAAAACAAGCTAAAAGCAAAGCCCATGACAAACAAACTTCACCTTCCTGCTTCTTACAAGAAAGTTATATTTAAAAATAATAATCACAAAAAATAAAAAAATAATAATAATCACAAGGATAAGTAAATAAATAAATCACAGACACAGGAGCCTTAAATCCATTTAGCTGAAAGTTGGAATCTCCAGATCGTCAAATCTTGTGAAATCAAAAAGAAAGGACATAGTATCACCATCCCACAATAAAATCATTATATAGGACCCTCATGTAAAAATGAGAACATGCAAACAAGTTCAGCTCCCTTGTCCTCAATCAGCATCAATTTAATAATATACAGGACTCCGTATCCTGTAATCACACACTTTGATGAAAGTGGGATGGCACTCTATGACATGGGAAAGTAGGCCTTACATAACAAGTGTAGCATTTATGGTAGTGCACATCTGTAATCCCAGTTACTTAGGAGGCAAAGGCAAGAAAATCCTAAGTTCAAGTCTAACCTGGACAACTTAATAAGGACTAGGGATATACCTCAGCACTCCCCGGGTTACATCTCCAGAATGAGCGAAAACAAAGCAACCAGCACTGTCTAAAGACACTTACTTCTCATTGCTATTGAAAGAGAATGTAAGAAACAGAACCCAGTTCATGCTCTTGGAATAAAAACTGTCCTAGTTGACCAGGTATCATGCACATATTTAGGGCTCACACATCTGAGAACTTGCCTGGATTATTGCATATGTGAAACAAGCAACATTAGATTAAACAAACTTTTTTATTTTTTAAGGAGAGTAAAAAATAGTATTAAAACAAAAAATTACAAGTGATACAGAATTTCACTTAACAAAGTAATATGAATTTCTTTTTCTTTTTTTTTTTTTTTTTTTTTTTTTGTGGAACCGGAGATTGAACTCAGGCCCTTGCACTTGTCAGGGATGCACTTATTCTACTGAGCCATCTCCCCAGCCCAGTGATATGAATTTCACAGTATTTGTTGTAATACACAGTGTTGTCTTCCAACCAGTTATTCATATTCAGATATATGCACATAAAATTGGAAAAAGAAGTGTGTAAGAAATTAAGGGAAAAAGTACAAACAATTTTTAAAAAAGGGGACAAAAAAATTAAGTATTATCTGTTCCTTTCCATAGACCAACATAAATGTTTTTCTTTTGAGTAAGTTCATTCCCTTTTATCAGTATCTATTGTACCATTCAAAATCCATTTTCTCTCTCAGGTTGTCACACTAAGGAGACA